ACTATATAAAAGTAATTCCGTACTCAAAGAATTAAGGGACAACCAATAATCATTAGGAAGTATAGACAATCTTAACGCACAAATATCCTAAACACAAATCTCCATGCAATTCATATCATTAAATAATCAACAGACTGTGTTTTGTAAAGTTATTCAGGCTTCTAAATCTCAGGACGCAAATTCGCGTCGTCCGGACTCAATGGGTTAAGAAGCTCCCATATTTTTATACAACTCTGAAAGTGTTATTTAGCTGCTATAGAAATTTACAAATTTGGATGTAAATCTGATTCAAGCGGGAACATCTGGTTCCGATTCTCGTTACGATTCCAAAATGAATGCATTAAGTCAGTTTGAAATTTCAGAATTTTTTTATTGATAAGTGCCTTTGTATATCACTCGAAGGCTTTGTGGAATAAATGAATTTAAAATATATAAACATTAAAAAAAATAAAGATTTATGAGGAAGAATCTGAGCTCGCAACACTATTTACGAATTAAGAATAGAGTTAGCAGTGAAATAATTAAGAACAGTTGGCTTAATTATTCAAAAATTAGATAATCCAACTTTATGATGCTTCCAGACAGTGTCGATGGGTGTGGGTGAGTGTGGGTGTGGGTGTGGGTTGTGGATGAAAAGTACCTATGCACCAGCACCCACACCCACACACCCACACCCACACACCCACACCCACACACCCACACCCACACACCAACACCCACACCCCACCTCACTTCGATTTGTTGGATCAGCCTATCATTAAATAGTTTAGAACAATAAATCTTTCAAATCTGTCTATCAAAGAAGTTTACTGGGAAACGAATTGATTCATTTGGAATATCTTGAGGATCAATGGCAATACTCCCAGTACCAACTGTAACCATCAATATTAAAGCGACGAAAGCATCTTATAGTTGCAGAGTGCTGAAAATAAACATCTATTCAATTGGAATTATCTTTTTTTTTCCTCGAGAAAAGATTATTCAAACTGATCAGTATTGCTTCCTTGATCCATAAGCATGAATCCAGTATTGGGCCATGTTAATTTAGGTGGTACAATAACACACAGATAATATCACCAAATAGGTCGACTTGAAAATGTTTCTTAACCACATAATTATTCTCTTTCTGATTCGTTTCTGAATTATTTTCTAACTTACCATCGTATCATTTTTAGTGATATAAAATTAAGAATATATAGTTTGTAATCTTGTTCATCACACGTTTGTATAAGACTCCAACCAAAATGAAAATCTTGAGCACGAACATAATCATCTAATGGAGTTGATTGAGACTTGCAATAACAACCAATAATATTATAGTCCCAATATTCAAAATAGTAAGAAATGAGCCATTTTGATGCATTTTTTCAAAAGTCTGATCCAAGATATATGAGAGAAAAAAATCAACTTGGTTCATACGTTTTTTTATTCTATTATCTTTGTTTTTTTTATAACTTCTCTTATCTAATATGTGCTGAGCAAAGTTACATAGTGTTATAGCACGAAAGTCTAAAATTTTATTTTAACTAAAAATGTCTTCGTCGTTTTTTTACTTGATAATACACTAGACTAATGAATATGCAAGATGAATAGAGAATGCGGGTATCATAGTATTACTTTCTAAGGTATCGACGAAATGTTGTGCTACTTTTTGATTGTTATTTTTTCAGATGTGAGAAATTAACCTGGAGAAAATTAGTTTTTACATCATTGTCTTCTTTGAAAAATTAGCGATGGCTGCGACAAGATCCTTTAGATATAGTAATTCCACAGTATTAGAAGTCCTAGAGTTTCAACAACGGTCAATCTGATATCCATCTTTCTCGAGTTTTCTGTCTTGGGTAGTCGAGATTTCTATATCGTTTCATATGTTTCAACTTGGCTAATTATGCCTGTTTTGAAAACTAACGAGTAACAATTCTAATACTCAAAACTTTCAAATTCTCGAACATTCATGATCATTAAGAAAAATGGATGTCCTCGAATATGGACTATTGTACTAATTAGGAATGGATTTGATTTAACTGTTGACGTATTCTTAATATTCAGTTTTTGTCATCTGTTTGTCTTGAGAAAGAAATGAGTTGATATTGTCTATCAATATAAGCAGAAACATGTCAATAATAAAAACTGACTATATAGTTAATGAAATTTTTACTAGTTAACTCATACTGAGAAGATGAATCTTGTTACAATTCTACTAGAGCAGTTTGGTTGTCATACGAAAACTCACAAAAAAGTGATCTTTGTATGTCATCTTTTGACGAATAGTGACTAAGTCTTTCGTTCCCTCGACGAAGTCCTGAAAAAAACCACACATTGCAGCACGATTATGTTGTCTACTATTAAAATAGTTGAGACAAAACGGAAAAAACCACCTTTTTTCTTCTGCTGGAAATGAGAAACGCTTTATATAAACGAAATGAATCATATTTTCATAATATCATCTGTTCATATCACAACGGACTTCGGTTAGTGACATTTCCAATTCATTGCTCTTCTTAGTAATGTAACAAGAATAATCATGTCGAAAATGATTCTTCCAACACATCCAATCGAATTTTTTGCATCAAGTTTTCGACCATCTGCATGTGTTGACCATTCTTCGATCAATTCATCTGGTTCGCAAACAGTTGTACGCTATCACCAATAGTTACCAACGATTCAACCTTGATTTCATTTCCATATCTCAGTCCGACTTAAGCATTGTGATCCGTCTCATTCGACCCGAGAGTGTCGTCTCGATTAGTTTCTACGAACGAAAAATCAAATGTAACAATTTTTTTATCTAATTTTGGTTTGTATCAATTTACTTGACTTCGTTCGATATTTCTTCGTTTACACAATGACGATCACGACATAGCTTGATTAATACAACACATCATCACTTGTCCTCTTATTTCGTTATCAATCTTTACTAATGAGAGGAATGCAAGAAATGATAAAACAATAAATCTGCTCTCTTCAGATATTCCTCTACCAAGTTTTCGGATACTCAATGTGAACTATTTCAAAATCATGTTGAAATAAATAATATGACAATTCAATATACATTATGATATCTCAAAATTGATGATTGTACCTATAGTCAATATTATTGTATTCTCCATTGATGCTCTCCCTTACGAATATTGATCATGTCCAATTGCATTATAGATGTTATTGGCAACATGGTCTTAGCACATTCTACTCGTTTATTTTATAGACAATTGACTTTTCTCACAATGTTGACATGTCCGTGATCGGTTGAGAATCTTCGATGATTTCTTCCATTAAGACTCTCATTAGTTTATCTCAAACTATGTTCTGTAAGAACGATATTCGATTCAGTGTTCGATGGATATTTTTGGGAAGAATTCATTTCCATGAAACCACCTCTATTAGGAATGTGTGAGTGTCGGTGGAAGGGAGAATAGACGATTGGCTTCATCACACACACGCACTCCCACACCCTCAAGTCTTTAAACCCATCATAGGGCACATTCTGTATATATTCTATATTATAATTTTCATTAGTCTACTGATCATTTTCTTAATGTACATTTACCTTAAGATGCAATAATATCTCTACTTCAATAACCTCAGTCTAAGATCAAGCAAGTCGACTGCCGATGAGCGTTATTTGTTCGAATTCTTAGCGAGAAAATTTAAAATATTTATTTCAATTGTAATTTTTTACAAATGGATCAAAATTTCAATATTTTGATCTTGAACTATTTTTGAATTTGAGAATTAATTTATTTTACCGATTAGTCACACATACATGATGAACAAAAGAAAAAGATAACAAACTATTGATTAATTTAGGTTTTTTATATGAATTCTTTTATCATAGGTTTCATAATTGTTCGTTCGAACCATTGCTTAATTCCATTGATGATGTTGTAATTATAATAGATTTTGAGACGATATTGACAGAAGCCAATATTTCAATGACTTGTCATGTTGTTTCCTGTGAGTTACATAATGGTTTATTACAAGAAAATTTCAATCCTAGAGAAGATGATTCAAGTCGATACCAAAGCAAAGCATGCGGTTTATGGCCTGACTTTGTTTAAAAACAATTGGAAACCATCGTGCGCATATCATTAAAACTATCCTCTACTCTCACAAAAAAACAATCAGTTAATTTGGTTGAAGTATGGAAAAGATATTCAAGTTTTTTTCTTTATTTAGTTATTTTCTGAACGTCATAGAGAAACAAAAACTTTTGATTAATAAAGTACAAATATTATTATTAACCATAGGATAAAACACTAAAATTTCCATTGCCATAAGTAGTACCATCTCCATAAATATGTAAAGTATAAGTATCAGTTGATCTATAATAATGTATATTTGAATCTGTTTGTATAGTATTCGTTTGTCAAGTATTACCGTAAGAGTATGATGGATTTACAAATGTATATAATATATTATTAGTTGCACTGTATTGAAAATCGGTCGCTTGAAAATATTGAAAATTATAAATAGCAGTTCCCAACAAAGCTTGTCTAAATTATTGAGTAGAAGCAAATGATGATGATATTGGAGTTGTACTTGTTGAAAGTATTGCCAGTGATATCCCAAATAAATTTGAATATGTCAAACATTTATCTGCTTTTATTTTTCATGTTGTTGAATTTTGATAAACACCATTCGATATTAAATATGATTCCAGTAAATAAATATCACGAGAATCTAAAAGCATTGGACTTCCAGACATAACATCATCTGGATTTCATGCATTCATCATTACACCTAAATTTAATAAATGACAATAAGAAATCATTGTATTCGGACGGGTACGCGTCACACCATAATCATAACTAAATAAAAAACCAATTTTTATACTTTTAAAAATTGAAAATAATTCTTTACCTAGCATCATCCCATATGATTCCCTTAATTTTCATAGCTAGCCAATTATTAACAATTGTTTGCATTTGTGAAATAGACAAATTTTGTGTTGTAACTCCTAATTCAACATAACCAAAAGTTCATTTTCCAAGATTATTCAATTATTGAATAATTATTTGTGTATTAGCATGATCACCATGGGAAGATGAAGCTATTCCATCATCGAAAACAATCACATCAAATTGACTAAATGTATTAATAGCTGCAGTTAAATTCCAATTAGTACCTTGAACTAATGATAGCCATTCATATTAAATACCAAGTCGTTTAGGAACATTCACACTTAATGAACTTGAATTATTATTCATTTCTAAATTCAACAAAAATACATATACATTATATATCTTCTTTATAAATAGTTATAGTTAATAGCTTAGTCATAAAAATCTTCCATAGTTTTCATTGATTATTACCTGTATTATATTTTACAATAATAACACGTGGAATAATAGAAACAGCAATTACAAGAAATAACGCACAAATGATTGCTAAAACTAAACCTAATTTAGTGAAACCATTTGTTGATGTAAAACACCATGCAAAAGCATATCCTGTCCTTCTATCAAATCGTTCATTATCTTTGGTTGAGTAAAATCGAACGGTTTTTTTTTCGCTGAAAACGATAAACATTAAACGATGATGTTGGGATAACATGTGACTAAAATCAATTGAAAAAAACAAAACAAAATTCTAACAAACAAACGAATACCTTCATTATTGTTACTTAGCTGCACGTGCAATAACTTTCATTTTTTCCTCTTGAGAATAATAAAGATTGAGAACAATGTCTTGACTATGTGATTTCGAAATTTTATAATACAAAATTATGCTACTTGTTTTTGATGATGTTTTTTTTCTTATGTAAATTTTTGACTGCAATCTTCAAGTATTCATCACGATCGTTTATATGATGACTATGTCTGAGATGATAGTAACATAATCAATACTAATATGTGGCTCATCATTCACCATGTCCTGGATTGCATCAATATTTTGTTTAGTAATGATGCCTATTGAGCGACCATTACGAGGATTATCTTCCAACGATTCTCATCCACTTGAAAATCGATCAATCCAATGAACAATTATACTATATGAAACGACACTTTGTCCATTTAAGCAGCAGTTAATTCATCATGAATTTGTGTAGCATTTAAACATAATAACCAACTAGTTTTTATATATGAGTGAATACAAAGCTTATCCATCTGAAAACAGAGGTGTTGAAAAAATTGATTAAAAATTTATCATAATAGATACTTGTAAAACTTCGTATCGGTATTTTAACATATAAAAGATGCCACTACTAAAATAGGTTAACATCAGGAATAAAATCAATCAGAATGGAATTTTAGAGTACTATTACGAGAACTTTTTCACTATCCTATGTATATAAAAAAAATCATTCCAAGATTTCTTATTTTCACCGTAGAAACGTCAAAACTTCAGCTTTTGGTCATGTGTTTTTTAAAACTTTCAGTGGTATCTCTGACCATCAATTAAATAAAATATTGTTACAACCTAAGTAATCATTTTTAGGGTCCCAAAAGTTCAGATACTCAAATGAAAAAATGAACAAAACTTCCCATTGCTTTTGAGCACAGTAGGATGATTCTATAGCGGGCCTCTCTTAGGTACCTTTTACGTCTGATCTATTAATTAATAAATTTATTTAGCTTGTATCGAGCTACGAATGCAAAATTCACTAAACAAGACTTCGCTGTGCATGTTTCAGAAATAGTACTTTTGATCGTGTTCTGATATGAAGAAACTTTGAAAATATAAAAGAAAAGATATTCAAGGAGACATCACCCATCTCTTTATCACGCTGAGAAATTATTTTTTGCACAGATAAAAATGTAGTTTGGCCTGCAATTGAATTTTGTGAAACACTATCTGCGTTATTGGATAATAATGTTTCAGTTGTTATGACAAAAATTAAAAGAATAACTGGTATTTCACATTGGCTAATGAATTATGATGAACTTTATTATACTTCTACTCTCGATACTTTATGATCACATGTTAAATGTTTCTTTTTTGGAAACGTTGCTCATAAAAAAAAATATTCAAAGCAATCAAATTAAATACGATGAAATTCGCAATCTTTTCTCTTGAAAATACTTTGTCTGATAATTATTAATCCTTTATTTTTATATATCAAAAGTATTAAAAATGTAGTCAGTGATATTCAATAGTTTGCCATTTGTGATTAAATAATTGAAATGATTGTCATTTATTTGTAATCTATTATATCCCCGGATAGGCTTCTGTTGTACCATTGAGCAATTGTTAGTAACGGAATGTTAAACCTAATGTTGGTGACTGTTGACCAAAATTCTGTAATTCTATACTTAGTATAGCGTATGTTCGAAATGAAATGAAATATAACTCGTCAATTATGGAATCATTTCCATATAAGACAATATGATCATATTGACGATTCAACAATCGTTTATAAGATTCATATCGACAATAGAAAGATGATAGAGGAATCAATTGTATCCAATATTTTGTTTTCTTTCTATAAAATAAGAAATTTCAAAATAACAATTCACAATCTGTTAACTATGAACAAAGTCTCAACTTGAGAATGAATAAAAAATTATCCTGGTTGGTAATAGGAATGTTAATAAAGTTGTTTATATTTATAGTGAAATGTTTCAATACTAATTGTATTGTGAAAAAAAATTTCAGAAAAATAGATTCTTTTGCTATTTTTATATGATAAATAGTGGTTTTTTTTTAATGTTATAGAACTTTTATGAGATTTCTAACGCTTGTCAAATGTTGATGTGATTTTGAAGTCTCATCAAGTCTTGAAGACTTTAAATGTAGTATTGTTTCCCTCTCGACATTCCGTCTTTGTCACGATTTCTTCTCTCTTATAGATCTTCGGCGCCAGTTAGAAAGTAGAAGAAATAAAACTTTCAACCAACATTACCTTGTTTCTTTCCATTTGTTTTATTCGCAATAAGATAATAACGGAAATTTAAATGGAGGACAAGACTGATATCAATAAGAAAAAGTGAAACAGACGATGACAGATTGAAGATTTGACTGCAGGATGTTGATAAGAAGACTAAAATAAACGCACATCATATTTCATCAGTGCATTTTGAGATTAGGTTTTCTTCGTTCGTTGACTTGATTATTGAATCCCAAGAAACTGAATAATTGCTGTACTAACAACAGTGAGTAAGACCATATACATAATTTCTTGCTATTGATTTTTTTTTGCAATAGCCAGCTATTTTAGCTGTGTCACAATTCTGATTGACAATGAGAACAATTTGTCTCATTTTTCTGTTAGAGTATCTATTCAGCTTGTTCTAACAATTACTCTTCGCCTTCTAATGAAGCTGATAAGAACTTAATGCTTTCGAAATTTCGTGAAACATCGAAAAAGGAAATGTGCAGGCTGATTATCATTTATTTATCTAACTAATGTAGGAATAAGATATTATGCTTGGTTAGAAAAGTATGTAGCAAAAAAAATAACGTTCATCTATTGTTCATACTGTTTAAGGTTTTGTAAATCCGATGATACCACAAGCGAGTCTCGCGCCTGAATTTCCCGTCTTCAACGATTCCTTATTCCCTCCACGACCTAGATCGTCAGACATCGCATGCATAACAATAGCGCGTCCAACAATTGAATGTTCACCGTAAAGAGACATCATTGGAACGAGTATGTTGAGATGAACTACACCATTAGCATCTGCTGTTACATTTCCCAAATCACCTAGATGTCTGGCAGAAGAAGAAAGAAAAAAAAACTTTTGGTTACTCGAATGCCAAACTAAACTACAGACCTCTCAGTGTCATTTAGACCACCATGATTACGATTGAACGGATTAAAATGTTCGCCAGTAGTTGTGCAACCCTGTCAGATAAATTTATTTTTCTTCAAATATAACTCAACACAAAAGACCAGCCCTTACCGAACTAACATCACCGAACTCGTGAATATGAAACCCGTGTGTAGTCCCTTGTCCTAAACCATCAATGCGACCTGTAATGTGAACACCGTGTGACATTTGTTCAAAATTGATTACTCCATAGATAGGCTATTATTGCAAAACGAATTTTAAATATTTTCTTTCAATAGGAAAAACAGACCTGTTTCGCATCAATTGCAGGATTACCAGTAAAGTTCCGTTTGCTGGCAATACCAGCAGCAAGGATATCGTCCGATGCCATCATGGCTCGTGCTTTTAGGCTTGAATGTGACGATCTAGGACAAAAAAAAGTTATTTTTGCTCTTTATATGAATAGTACAAACCTAGGTTGAACATGAACTTGCAGCTCGAACGCTGGTCTCGTCATCATTTGAGGTGGTACTATTTGTCCTTGGTCTAAATACGTTACATTGCTTGGCTGCTGTGGCTGGTAATATTCACCGCTAATAGCAGCTCCAGTACTTTGAACATGAATATTTCTTGTCAACAACTCAGAACCAGGTGCTACATTGTCGAGTCGTGGACTCTGATGGTGACGATGTCTGTCAGATCTGCCAATATCTACTTCTATTCCTGTCAGTCGAACTGAGAAAAAAATGTGCTATAGAATTCATTTCTTAGTTTAAAATTCTGAGATCAACTCACGAGGAATTTTTTGAGACGATTGCAAATGTTCTTCGTTCATATGCTTATTTCTACTGTTAATATTCTAACAAAATGCGATAATGTTCTTTTTTGCTAGTTAGTCGTTGTTGTTTGTCATATATATTCACATGTGCGCATTAAGTTACGTTTGTTTATGCAGTTCTGCTTGACTGATCATGTTGATAATAACAAGTTGAAAGGTGTAATCTACTGCAGAGATTGAAAGCGAATAAAATTATCGAATTGAGTCGAATATGGTCCAATCAATTCAACTGATTACCGACCTCTTTCGTTTTCTCAATTGGAAGTGAGCAAACTTATTCAAGTAGGTTGGTTTATATTTTCAATTTTGTCTGATTGTTCAATGTATATAGAATTCAATTTCTGATGAACATTCTTTCTACATACATAACAATAGACGTTATCATAATGTTTTTGTTTCATTCATCAGTTTCGAATTTATCGATTTTTAAGTAACCGCATAAAATCAGTACTGATTCACAGAACTAATTCTGTTCGCCTATGTCAGATAAGATGAATTGATTTTGATA